TTATATGCAGATGTCCACATACAGGAAAGTGTGCAGCTGTTTCTCAAATAAAAAAAACAACAACAACCCACCACTGTAGTTGAAGCAAAGCAAATTCAAGTAAGGATATAGTATTCTTATCTTTTCTATGTATTTTCATTTTTTTTTTTTTTTTTTTTTTTTTTGTATATTGTATACAGATTGTGAGGAGAGACTAGAAAACTTTGCCTGATATCCAGTATAGAGAATGGCTAAGGTAGTCTTCATATTCTACCACAAAGAAGGTAAGGGGCAGCGATGCCGAAGCACTGGTCTGTGTCCACAACTTATTTCAGCAGGAACCGGTGGTCCTCAAACTGTGGAGCACTGGCCTGTGTGAATATTGTGTGGTCTCTTGTAGCAAACCCAAGTACATGCCAGAGTCACACAGCCACCCAGCGGCTAGGCTGGGGTTCAGACACAGGACTTCCTCACCTCAAATCCTGTGTTCCTTCTCCACACACATGATACTTGTCTCACATCGTTTCTCTAAAGAACTAACACCCAGAGCGCGAGGATGACACGTAGCTCAGACGTGAACTCTGTTGTTAGTAAACTGCTCTGTGCCTTTGTGGTTCATGGGGTGGGGGGTGATTAGAGAGGTTAAACTGAAACCTGGCGAAGGCAGAGGCTGCGAGGTGCTGCCCGTGTTCCATCCCAGCTTCAAGGACACCCCGACTCACCTGGTCAAGGGCCAATGCAGTATTTAAGGTTGGATGAATAAGCTGATGCGGCTGGGAGAGGTTTTGTGTAGAAAGCAGGATCTGAGTTGGGCTTTGAAGGACCATACATCTGGGAAGGTGGAGAAGGCAAGAAGGGCCTTTGGGGGCATCACAGACAGGCAAAGAAAGACAGGACAAAGCATGTCAGGTGGCGGGGACAGAGTGGGATTGCAAACCCAGGACAAACCAACGTGAAAAAGAGGCAGACCTTAAACATCAGCAATAGGATCTGTCTTAGTCACTTTCTTGTTGCTGGGATAAAATACCCAACAACTTAAATAAGGATGAGAGGTTTATTTTGGCTTACAGTTTCAGTCCGTGGTTGGCTGGCTCTAAGCCAGAAATAATATGGCAGAAGAGCTGGGTGGAAGATGACTCCTCATCCCTTGGCAGTCGGGGAGCAGAATGAGAGGGAGGGGCTGGGGACAAGCATACCCTCTTGCAGGTCATGCCCCCAGTGATTTGCCTCTAACCAGAGCACCTCTACCCCCCGCCCCCCCCACCGCCGCAATGGCACATTCAGCTATGAACTCGTTGTGGTACATCAATCCTTCCACAAATGGGAGAACTCGGGGGGGGGGGGGACATTTTGTTTTATTTTATTTATTTATTTTTTGAGACAGGGTCTTGCTATGTAGTCCAGGCTGGCCTTGAACTCACAGAGATCCTCCTGCCTCAGCCTCTGGAGTGCTAGGTTACAGGTGTGTGCTGCCACACCCGAGTGGGAGGACATTTTAGATGTAAACCATAACAATGCCCAGTAGAGAGTAACAGGGAGTGGGAGAGAAAGAGACGAAGGCATCGATTAGTGAGAAAGTTGTACTCTCTTTAGATGGGCAGCCAGATAAAGATATTTTGATTTCTGAGATCTCTGAGATGAATGAAGTTAGCTAATCTACTGAATTAGTAATAACAGCTATTTTACTGTGTACATACCCTGATCCATAGTTTTTGCTAAGTGCTTTATATACAAAGCTGAATTCTCTTTACCTCAGTTTTTGAGGTAGATGTCTTTTTCCCTATTTCTAGAGAGGAGACAACAGAGGCTCCAAGAAACTCAGGCAGGTTAAGAAACTCCCTATACTGGTCAGATTCCCATCACTGTAAATAAATATCTGAGCAAACTGACTCATGGAGGGAACAGGCTTATTTTGGCCTATAATTCTGGAGTTTCCAGTCTCTGATCGCTTGGCCCCATGGCTTTGACCTGTGGCGAGGGAGAACATCCTGGTGGAGGCGTGCAGTGGAGCAAAATGGCTCCCTTCATAGTTAGGAAGTGAAAGAGAGAGAAAAGAGGCTGAGGTCCTGATGACTTAAGGGCATTTTACACGGTCCCTCTTCCTCAAGGCCACAGCACCTCTGCATGCACCTCCCTGGGGACCACGGAGGATCTTTGGGGACTACATAGCAAGATCCGAACTATACCACTTTCCCTGGGCCACACAGCTAGCGAAGGCCACAGCAGGGAGCCAAAGCCAGGTGCGTCTGACTACTCTGAAGTTAGTACCAAGGCTTGACCGCCCTCCAGAACAGGTGCCTGTGACTCACCCTGCAATAATGGGAATCTCTGGTGAACTGGAGGCATGTCTGGTTGCTGTGTCCTCCAAGAGGTGGAGTCCGGTGGGTTTCTAGGAAAAGCAAGCTCGTCCCGCTGAGGGCCAGTTTGGCACAGCTTGACTGAAGCTGGGTTACAGCACAACATAGAGCCGAAGTCCTCAAGATCAGTCCTCACTGCATTTCTCTGTGATTCTGTTGCTCAAAGGCTTGGAACCAACCTGGAAGGAATAAATAAGTGAAGAAACAAAGTATTTGCTCTTCCTTATTAAGCCTTGGCTGGGAGTCTGTCTTCTATATTCCTCACAGGCAAAGTGCAATTTGCAGGAGCAGATTAGCATTTCACACTGGTTAGACCAGAGCACCTGGTTTTGCAATAACTCTCCTTTTCTCTGTGCACTAAGGGGTTCTTGAAATTCCCATGCTTGGTGGCTTACCCTGATGGCTGGTCACCAGCTGTTCTGTTGGCATGTTGCACGACAATTTATTGCTGATCCCCACTGGTGTTTGGCAGAGGCCCCAAAGAAGCAGGCAGCAGGTTAACGCTGACACCTTCTCTTCCTGCTGTCACATAGGGCCACGATCCTCTTCAGGGAAAAGTGGCTCAGGCTTAGGGAAGAGCGTCAGGAGCTGCAGACTGTGGAAGTTAGCAAAACAGTCTTTCCTGCCTCAGCATCTGGGCCAATTCATCAAAGCCAAAAGTGTAGCAGGGGCAGTTCGAGGGAGGGAGGTTGTGAGATGTATTACTGGTGAATCCGTACATTGCTTTGTAAAGCCCTTAGATGCACATTGTCATTTGTGAGCTTTACACCAATGTTATTGACTGAGAGAGCGAATCATTTAACAACAAAACCCCCAAAACAAAATCTAGGATCTAGACAGGAAGATGTAGCAGACATTTATAATGCCCCCCCACCAGCTGCCTAAGAGCAAGCTCTCTCTCTTACTGTAACAGTGGTGGAATGCAGGGTTCTGCTCCTCTCTTAGGAAGCCAATTTCTGGGGCCAAGACTGTCACCCGGGGATGGATCAGTCAGGCGTTCCCATCTAGGGTTTTGCATGTGGAACCAAGGCTTCAAAGTTGAAAATAAAAGGTGAAGAGAGGGATGATAAAAATTCATTTCCACAGCCCCAGCAGCACACCCAGCGGTGTTGTTCTGGAGCAGCAGCTGTGTCCTGACAAGTGACTTTTCCATAGGGCAGCTCTGTTACTTGCTTTCGGATGCTTGCTTCCTGGGCGAGCCTAATGTCCTGAGTCCATATTGGGACCTCAAAGCCAGAATCTAGAATCTCAGAGTGGAGGTCAGTTTTGGAAAACATCCCCTGAGTTTGAGAAATCCTCAGGGTTATCCCATGGCCGGTGTCAATCACTGTTGTTTACAATTGCCAAAAGAAACAGCTCTGGAGTTAGTAAGGAGGGAATTTATTTGAAGGATTATTGTAGGGGGTGGAAGAAGGGGTAGGGAGGGACTCTTGCAATAAGGAGAATCTTCTGACTTTAACATGTCCAAGTGACTCAACGGGTAAAAGGGTATTTCTTTTTATAGACAGGAGTAAGTGAGGCAAGGAAGAACAGGTGTGAGGAAGTGAGAGGGGGGAAGCGAGGACAGCAGCCTGTGCTCAGCAGAGCACAGAGTTCAGAGAGTCGGTAGAAGAAGAAAAACTTAATTAAAGATTGGCCAGCAAATACTTTGTTCTGATTGCTCCTGTGGAACTTTTGGGGACAAAAAAGTTTAGCTGACCACACATATGGCAGAAACTGGGGATTTATGTGTGTGTATGTCTGACCCTGTGACAAATATACAAGGAGGCATCTATAAGCCTTTTTTGCATCTTATGAGGAAGAGTGATTCTTTGCAGTTCACCATTCCCTACAGCACAAAAGGATGAGGACACTTTTTAACCTTGTATGTTTTCGAGGAGCCCAGGGGTCAGATAAAATTCAGCAGTGTCACCACTATCCTGTAAGATAAGGAAGAAACAGTTGGGAAACCTCCATTACTGCCCAGTGCTCTGTACATGACCTCATCCGTCCCCCATGGAAGTGGGTTATTTTGTCACTGCCATTTTATGGATGAGTGCAGAGCATAGTGGAGGTTGAGAAGCTTCCACGGCTCTTCACAGGAAATGTGCAGGGAGGAGAGGAGGAGAGTTGAGCCCTGGCTTCTTAGATTGGGAGGAGACTTGAGCCCTGGCTTCTTAGATTCCTGGTTATGTTCCTTGGTACCATGTTACCGCTGCATGGGCTCAGTCAGTGGCTTACCAGAAGTCTTCTCTTGTTTGTGGTTTTAGTTATCCATGGTAAACCCAGTCTGAAAATATTAAATAGAAACTGCCAGAAAGAAACAGTTCATAAGTTTTAAATCACGTGTTATTCTGAGTAGTATAATGACATCTCACACTGCCTATGGCATCCTGCCTGGGATGGATTCATCCCTTTGTCTTCTGTATCCATGCTGTATGTACTACCCACCCGTTAGTCACTTAGCAGCCTAATTGTCATGGTACTTCAGTACTCAGGTCCAAGTAACTCATTTTATTTAATAATGATGTATTTTGTTTTTCCATTTTACTGTTAATTATTATTATTAATTTCTCACTGTTCCTAATGTATGCATAGGAAAAAGCACAACATATATAGAATATGGTATTATCTGAGCTCTCAGACATCCACTGGGGGTCTTAGAATATATCCTCCATGAAAGGGGGGACTACTATAACACAAGCCTGGTTTATTTTCAAGATCCTAGCACAATTACTCGATATTGTGAAGGATCCATGTGTATTTGTGGAATTTTTCATGATAATTATGTTATAGCAATCTTCAACAGAATATGAAAATGGAGATCAATTTGCAACTCCAATTTTCTAGAATGAAATCTCATTCTATAATTTCTATGCAGTCATCAGCATTTACCCTAGTTAACAAGCTTGTCTTCTAATGCAAACAGACTGTGTTGGTGCAGCTATCAAACCCCACTCACACCCCAGCATTGCAATCAAAGCTGTCGCAAGCCTTCTCTACTGAAATTATAATTCTTCCTAAGGCATGGAAAAGAGATTTAAATCCTACACTTTCCTCATTGTTGTTTTCAGACTGCCCCCTCCCTGTACAAATGGCGATGAAGTGTTTTATATAGCATTTGGATGGACCACTAAACCAAGGCTGGGAAAGCCATCACTCTCAGAAGGCCCTGGTCACACATGATGGTGACTGTTCAAGAGGAGTCCTCTTGTTGGAATGTGATGTAAGGCCAGGATGTTGCAGATACAGGGTGAGAGGATTTAGGGTTCTATCCCCAGGCAGTCTTGGTTCTTCAGGTGCCTCAAGGTATAGGATTCAAACCCAGGCTGCCTTCTTCCTCTTGGTCTGCTCCTTCTGGGTGTCCCAGGGTTAACACCCACCTCCACTCATACAGCCTGCATGGAGTTTCCAACCTACTTCTTCATGACACAGCCACAGCCCAATGTCCTGAGTCTGTATTGGGACCTCAACTCCAGAATCTAGAGTCTCTTGCGTGCTGACCAGCAAAGCCTTTTCTTTGGTCCTGGTTGTGGACTCAGGCTCTACAGGTAGTCAGTGGGTTCTCTTCCGTCTTTCCCATTGGCCTGCTGCACAGCTTGGATAAAGTAGACACAGCCCTCTGTGCCTTGGTCCTCTTATCTGTTGAAGGTGGGTTGGTAACACTTGTCACATTGTTTTTCTGTGAGGACTAAATGAGATAGTGCAAGTCAATAGGTACTTAATAACTTATTTAATAATGATGATAATGGTAAACCAAATTCATTAATCTTTGGCAGTAGTAAGGAAATCTATTGCATCCCTGTCTCCTATCTTGCAGGTAAGAGACGGTCACCATCAAAGCTAATTTCTGGAGCTTTGTTATCTGACCCACTACTCTCCATTAATGCTCTTTTGCTTGGGTGGGACAGAGAACTTTGGGTGGGAGGACACAGGACACCTGAGATCTTACTTTCCCTCAATGTTCCATTTTTCCTTTATTCTGCCATACTTGTCCCTGCTGGTCTCCTATAGGGTAGGAAGGACCCACTTTGCAGTTCTGCTAAGCTTTCCTTATTTTAGGAGGAAAACATCTGACTTCAGCACAGAAAATAGGTAGGTTCAAATCCCAAGTCTGCCACTTCTTGTCTATATGGCTCTAGGTACATTGAATGCCTTTAGGTAGGATACTTAATCTTTCTGAGTATCAGTTTCTCTTTCTGTTAAAAAGGAATAATAGTGGTAATTTATCTAGTAGTTATTGTGAGGATCAAATGATATAAGAGGTAAATAGTACCTGGCATAAGGTAAGATCTCGAGTCAACATTAATTTTCTTAGATAGTAAGAAGATACCTTTGGAAGTGATTGTAAACTAAAAAATCATGGAGGTTTTCTTGCTGCCTCATTTGCAAAAAGTAGTGAAGAGTAATAGATGGTATATAAGGCATGAAATAGGGAAAAACCATTGATGTTATCAGCAAGCTCTGGAGGAGGAAAGCTGTGGGGAGGGTTGGGAGCTGAGTTGGAGGTCCCAGTCCTGCGTGTGCTCCCAGCTGTTCCCAACCCCGCATCAGGGGTCAGTTGAACACACCCACACCTATGCATTCCCAGGCAGGTTTGACTTTTTGAGACCCTGCCCTGAAGCTCTGGGCTCTGCCTTCCACCTGATCCTCACTTAGATGGTACCGAAAGGCTGAGTCATTCTTGCAGCATCACATTTTAATTTGGGATTGGAAGCAGGTGGAGGGCCCTGAGCTCCTGACACCTGCTGTTTTTAGAGAGGCAGTTAGAAGCCTATCGGGAGCAAGTTTGGATGCTGGCTTATTACTCTTTCTGTTTCAGTCAGCCAGGCTGACTAACATTACATTTCTGTCTATGGCGCGGAAAGCACTGCACTGAATGCTGCAGAGAGGGGTCCTCACGTCTCTCTTGCATCAGGAAGTCAGGACACACCCAAAAAGCTGTAACATAGAATTTGTGTTTCTGAGTGTGTTTTTATGGATTAGTTCTCTGCAGGAAATAGAAGGTGAGCTGGGGGTGGAAGTAATAATGCTGCTCAGGGTTGGATGAGGCTTATCAGGAAAGCCTTTCATGGGAAAATTAATTTGGGTAGGGTTTGGAGCTACCTAGGGACACAGAATGTGGGAGAGGAGGGGACCAGGCATTGCTGAAGGGACAAATACAGAAGCAGAAACTCTACAACACATAATCAGCCACAGAGCTGGTTGGAGCAAGTCAGTCAGGGCAGTAGAAGCGGTGATGGCTGTGAGTTTGTCCTGGGGAAGCGTGGTGGGAGCAGCTATGAGAACATGCTTCATGATAGGCAACAGAATATTCATGTACATCTGGCGAGGCAAATCATTGCATGGGCTTCAGATAAATTACCTCCCATCCTCTGTAGGTCTTTTGGGTGCCTGTATGTCTATGTACATACAGGTATTGGTTTGGTTGGGGAGGGAGATAAACTACTCAGGACTTTGAAAGCATCATAAACCCAATCAAAGGAAGGTAGACCAAATCTTATAGGGTGAGGAGACTTCTGCAGCTATTTGTATGGCAAGCCCCATTTTTGTTTTAAACTCAGATTATGTTTATTTGGGGGTTGGATTAGGGACATTGATGGG